AAAGGCAACATGATTTCCAATAGTATAAAAGGGTATGTACTGGGTCCACAACCACTGCTATTTTATACATAAACATACATGTCTCTCTATATATCATGCACAAATGGTAGTTTGTTCTGCTTTCTTTTCTCACATCATTTATTTTGGAGATTGTTTCATATTTGCACACATCTACCTCATTCTTTAATGTCTGCAATGTTACATGATATAGACTTGCTGAAACTTATTGCCTTATTGAAGTACTTCTAATTTCAGTGTTTAAAACATGCTGTTATATTTTTGTACATCTAGCTTTGCCCAGTTGTATGTGTAAACTATATGTGTAGGATAAACTCCTAGATATGGACAGCTGGAACAAAGGATATGTGACTTTGTGGTTTTCATAGATTTTTCCAAACTGTACTGAAAAGAGGCTGGAACTATAGGCATGCACCCTGGCTACAAACAAAGTTTCTCCAGTTATTCTTGGGCAACTGATCTTAAGACCCTATGCTTGCTCTTGAATTGCCTAAAATATTAGTTTCTCATCAATTTCTCCCAGGCCACAGCTCATCTGGGGCCTGGTGGAATATGGGGGTTGCTTCAGCCTGTCCCCTGACTGACATTTCCTCCTTACCCTTTCTGAATCTGGCTAGGACACAGAGTTGCAGAGGAAGCTAGACCATGAGATCCGGATGAGAGAAGGGGCCTGTAAGCTGTTGGCAGCCTGTTCCCAGCGAGAACAGGCTCTGGAAGCCACCAAGAGCCTGCTTGTGTGCAATAGCCGCATCCTCAGCTACATGGGCGAGCTACAGCGGCGCAAAGAGGCACAGGTGCTGGGGAAGACAGGCCGGCGGTAAGCAAAGGGAAGGCATGGCCTCAATGGGACCAGGAGCTCCTGTGGGTGGTGGTGGTGCAGCATGTGCATATATGGAATGTGGACCACCCTGAAGAAGATGTCCCAGTGAAGCCTTGTCCAGGGCCTGGAGAAGACACTGGTGTTTTACCACCTCAGTGTATTGCCCAGAGGTGCACTAGTGACTCAGGAAAGCCAGTGTGAAATGCTGGCAGCCTGAGGGGTAGTAGGTAATACAAAAACACTAATTTGCTAAGCCCTGCCTGTGATACAGAGAGTCCATCTGTTTGGCTTTTAGAAAACTAAATTTTCTCAAAGCCAGTTCACCAAATGGTCAGTTTACCACAAATTGACAATAGTTTGTTATATCTGGGGTTCACCATGAGAGAAAGAGATTGGGAAAGGAAATAATAAAGAACCATTTAAAGGGAAGCCTAACCCACTTAAGTTAGATCATGCATTCTAAAGGGCTCAGCTTCTGGATGTAAAACACAAGCTACACTGACATTAGACTGTTGATTAGATACCTCTATGGTGAAATAGTTGAAGTGATGCTGTGGTAAGACCAAAATGTGGGAGAATTTGGCAAATTGATCATTAGAAGATTGGCCATTTTGGTAAATTGGTCACTTGGAGAACTGGCTTCTCCATGTGTCTCTGACAGTGGTCTGCTTGCACCATTGTGGCTGATGGGGAGATAGTCCTAGCCCTTCACTGGCATGGTGCCCATCTCAGCCATGAAGGCTAGTACAAGGCAAAGCTGCCAGGAGCTCATCCATGAAGCCACTAAGAGAAGGCAGAAAACTCACTGTACAGTTGGAGGAAGGCTAGAGGAAGGGCAGGCAGGCAAGGGGGAAGCCTTGCCTGTGAGTGTGCGGCCTCCTGAGGGATGGCTGTCAACAGGCTCTGTCCTGCCTCAGTCCCCACACAGCCTAGGTAGTGTGATTTCAGGTTTACCCCAAGTCCCTGGCAGCTAAACACATTGCTATTAGTGCCACATCATTTAGCTTAAGGGCCTGCTAAGTCAATAATTACATTAGTGGCATTATGAATAAGTACAAATAAACTGTCACTTGAGGAAAGAGAGACATGCTTGATGAGAGTCCTGATGATGGGTGGGGAGGTAAGGAAGGTGGGGCCTTTCAGTAGGGGACTACAGAACTTGGCAGGGTACGGCACATCTGGCCAGAGGAAAAAAAGAACAAATGTTCCCTTTGGGTTCTTTTTTTTTGTTTTTGAGACAGAGTCTCACTCTGTACCCTGGATAAAGCATTGTGGCATGATAGCTCACAGACTCCCAGGCTAAAGAGATCCTCTTGCCTTAGCCTCCTGAGTATCTGTGAGTACAGGTGCCCACCATAATGCCCAGCTAGTTTTTTCTATTTTTAGTAGAGACAGAGTCTCTTGCTCAGGTTGGTTTCAAACTCCTGAGTTCAAACCATTCACTCACGTTGGCCTCCCAGAGTGCTAGGATTACAGACCACTGTGCCTGGCTACCTTCTAATGTTTTGTTCCTTTCATCACACAAAATTATTTTCTGATTGACCCAGTACCCTCTTATTTCAAAGAGCTGATGAGATAGTACAAATCAGCAGCCTCCCTATTGTTAAAAAGGAAAGGCTGCAAACCCCTCCAAGCCCAGGGTTGAATAGAGGAGAGCCCCTGATAGCCTCTCTGTGGGCACCTGTCCTAAAGCCCCATTTGTCTCTTGTAGGGGTCTGAAGAGGTAGTCAGGGTGGGTTCTTGAGAGGGCAGCAGCCCTGAGCTTACATATTGTGAGGCTCAAGTGTCCCCAAGCCTGGCAAACTCCTGGGTGCAATGGACAATTCTCACTCACAGTCCCTCAGCCTTGTCGTCAGCCTGGGGACCTGGGGGCTGAGATCCTGGGACCAAGAGGATCCTAGAATCCTTGGGAATCAGAGCAAAGGGGAATAGTATCATGAGGTCAGGCCAGGACATTGTGCCTTATCTACAGGCCTTCGGACAGCAGCCCACTTGCTGAGCGCTCTCCCTGCCGAGGCCGCGTCTGCATCTCTGGTAAGCACAGCCACCCCAGCTGCTGGCACCCCTGACCCTACCACACAACCTCCTGCCCCATCTTAACATTTATTCCTACTCTTCTGCCTCTTAGACCTCCGGATTCCACTCATGTGGAAGGACACAGAATATTTTAAGAACAAAGGTGGTGAGTTCCACACACCCTGAGACAAATTCAGAGACGTGACCCTGAGGTAGGAGGCTCTTGTGAAGCACAGTTTTATCAATTTTGTTCTCTTTGTCCCCAGACTTGCATCGCTGGGCTGTGTTCCTGCTGTTGCAGCTAGGGGAATGCATTCAGGATACAGAGATGATCCTGGTGGACAGGACACTAACGGACATCTCCTTTCAGAACAATGTGCTCTTGTGAGTGCTTCGTGCCTATTCTAGTGGTGAAGAAGAGAGGGAGGAAGGGAGATGGATGCCTGCCCTTCTCTATGGAGCTGTCTATACTTAGACTACCCATATTCTCCACCCTCAGTGCCTCTGCAGACTTCCCCATGACCACTGTACTCTCCTTCTTTCTTCCACTAGCACTGAGGTGGGGCCAGACTTTGAACTACGGTTGGAGCTATATGGGGCCTGTGTGGAAGAGGAGGGTGCGCTGGCTGGCACCCCCAAGAGGCTTGCCACCAAACTCAGCAGCTCCCTGGGCCGCTCCTCAGGGAGGCGTGTCAGGGCATCGCTGGACAGTGCAGGGGGTTCAGGAAGCAGCCCCATCTTGCTCCCTACCCCAGCTGTGGGGTAAGGCCTTGCCCTCCCCCACTACCCTCAGCTGCCTGTACCCTGCCCACAGGTGATCTTTGAACTGTGTTGAGCATGCAGAACCCATTTTGCACTGCTGCCAGGATGTGCAGATATGAATGAGCAGTAGCCACATATCTGGAAGGCACTTGGCCTGTACTCCAAACCAGTCCAGACCAGTGGAAGGCAAGGAGAGTTAGGCTTTGGATTCATAACTTTTCAGCAGCAGCAAATATATATTATATGGATAGAACACAGTTCCTTACTTGGAATAGGGTAGTCTGGAACCCCTGGTGCTGATGGGTACCTGGAAACGCCTTATAGAATTACTTGCGACTCTTAAGGAGCAATTTGAGAACCACTGGGGTAAGGACTGAATATTGACTTTGGACACAGGCATGGGTTCAAATTCTAGCTTAATGGCTATAAATTATGAGCAAAGTTTTTTTTTTTTTTGATATAGAATCTCACTATTTCACCCTTGGTAGAGTGCCTTGGTGTCATAGCTCACAGCAACCTCAAACTCTTAGGCTTAAGTGATTCTCTTGCCTCAGCCTCCTGAATAAACTGGGACTACAGGCGCTTGCTATAACGCCTGGCTTTTTGTTGTTGTAGTTGTCATTGTTTGTTTAGCAGGCCCGGGCTGGGTTCGAATCCACCAGCCCCAGTCTATGTGGCCAGCACCCTAACCACTGAGCTATGGGCCCCGAGCCAATGAGCAAGTTTCTTAACCTAAGCCTCAAGTTGCCTTATCTAAAAAATGCCACTGCTTTATCACGTGTCTTTTCTAAAAATAAAAAAATTAATAATTTAAAAAAGAAAGCCACCAGTCTCACCAGGCTGTTGTGGGAATACAGTGGGATAACACATATAAAGCACAGACCCTGGAACTTAGCAGGAGCTCAGTAAATGCTTGTTTTTAACCCCTATTGGGAAGGCAAGCTGGTTTTCTGTGGAGGCAGATTGAATAATGAAAGCAGACCTGCTCAGCCCTTACAATTCCTGCTGCCTAACATGGCCCCCATTCAGCTGATGGCCCTCCTGTTTCTCCTTTAGTGGTCCTCGTTACCACCTCTTGGCTCACACCACACTCACCCTGGCAGCAGTGCAAGATGGGTTTCGCACACATGACCTCACCCTTGCCAGTCATGGTGAGTATGTGCATGTGTGGGGGACACACACATGTGATGGTGAGAAGAGGGGCTGTGGGACAATATCCATCTCATTCCCCACCCTCACCCTGCACTTTTTCCTCCCCTAGAGGAGAACCCTGCCTGGCTGCCCCTTTATGGTAGCGTGTGTTGCCGCCTGGCGGCTCAGCCTCTCTGCATGACTCAGCCTACTGCAAGTGGTACCCTTAGGGTACAGGTGAGGGGGCCCTGGGGAGTGGAAGGGAAAAGGTAGAGGACAGCTAAATCACCTAATAGAACGATTAAAAATTCAAGAACTGGGTGGAAGGGGTTATGGTAAGACAAGGGGAGCAATGGGCAGGAGGGTGGGCAAAGAGAGCAAGTTCTCGGAGGGGGTGGCTAAGAGGGGTGTTGGGGGTATGACTCCCCCAGGAAACATTGAGTCATTTATGCAGCAAGCTGGGGAGATGCAGAACTGGGCACGAGTACATGGAGTACTGAAAGGCACAAACCTCTGCTGCTACCGCCAACGTGAGGATGCAGACACTGGGGAAGAGCCACTGTTCACTATTGCCATCAACAAGGTGATGGGCCCCTTGGTGATGAGGCTTGGGCCTGGAAGCCTCTCCTTCAGGTCCTAAGAGGGTGGGTGCAGACCTCAGAGAGATGCAAGTGGAGTTTTGCTTCTAACAGCAGCACAACCAGCTTCGGGGCCAGGGGCACTGGACCATGTTTGCCCATAGTATCACTGAAAAGGATCATCCCATTCACGCACCATGCTCAGTCTCTGCCAAGTCTCAGAGAGGGTTCTAACACCAGTTTAGGACTTTTCATCCTCCTTTCCCCTCAGATTCCAATTTGGATCTATTTTACCACTTCCTTTTTTTCAATAGGTTCAATTGCCCTTCTTTTGTTTTCCTGACTACTTTTTTGAAGTTCTAGACATCTTTGTCATCAGCACTCTTGCCCACCTTGCCCACCTCTTGCCCATCAGCACTCTTGCCCATGAGGAGGGCAAGAGATTGCCTTGCTCAATCTCTCTTTCCTTGTCTCAGTCTGCTCCTCCTTCCCTGACTCAGGACTGTCAGTCTCATCCCCTCCCTTCCCACTCCAGAATCAGTAGGAGGCAAATGAGAGGGCTCAGCAAAGACCCCGTAAGTCCTTCCTTCCAAGGCAGGGGTGAGCAGAGCTGCTTGGTGTCACTGCCAACTTCCAAAGACCAAGCTGGAGGTGGAAGACCTTTTCTTTTTCCTGCAGGACACTCGAGTCCGGGCCGGAGAACTGAACAAAGTCCCAGGACAACCCTTTACCCTAAGTGTCAGTAACCGGTATGGGGATGATGAAGTGACACACATCCTTCAGACACAGAGTCGGGAAGCCCTGCAAAGCTGGATGGAGGCTCTGTGGCAGCTTTTCTTTGACATGAGTAAGAGAGAAGGGGGCTGGGATGAACCTTTGAGACTGGGGTTTGTTATTTTTACCAAAGACCTCTATTTCAAGATTGGAAGGGAATATAGCAAGAAAGAGGCCAGCTGGCACTCTCTTCCAATCAGTGCTCTTCCTCTAGGCCAGTGGAAGCAGTGCTGTGATGAAATCATGAAAATTGAAATTCCTGCTCCCCGGAAACCACCCCAAGCATTGGCCAAGCAGGGATCCTTGTACCATGAAATGGGTGAGTGAAGCAAAAAGTGTTCTTAAGGAACCTGGTGGGAAGTAGGATTGGGGTGCTTTAAGGGAAGCCAGGTATTGGAAACAGAGAGAAAGCATACTTTGGGCTAAGGCAGATGTTAGAGACCATGTATCACCTAGTTCTGCTATATTCCTTTCTCCTCCGCAATTCTTATTAGAATCATCTCCACCAAAGTTCAAAACAAAACCCCCAAAGAGCCGGGTTCATTTCATGGATTTCTTTCCTAATTTCTTTTTTTCTGTTTCCCTTTCTGCATGCGGATTCCTGTCTCTTCCTCTGATCCCTCACTTGCCTGGCACCGCTTTTATTTTTCTCTTTTTTCTTGGTTTCTTCACCTACTTCTGCTCTCCTCCCCATCCACCTGTACCCTGTATCCCAGTCTTATCAGAGCCTATGGCCCCGGGGAACTCAGGTGAGGGACTGCTCCTGCAGGATAATGCAATCTCAGCTGAAATCCAGGCTTTGCTTTCCTCTTATTACAGTGACAGGTGATAGTCAGGGCTGGGTAGGTCTGGGGCCTGAACTCTGACTAGCCCCCTCCCCTCGACCCCTTCCTGGTGCCACAGCTATTGAGCCACTGGATGACATCGCAGCGGTGACAGACATCCTGGCTCAGCGGGAGGGATCAAGGCTGGAGACACCCCCACCCTGGCTAACAATGTTTACAGACCAGCCTGCCCTGCCTAACCCCTGCTCGCCTGCCTCAGTGGCACCAGCCTCAGCCTGGACCCATCCTCTGTCCTGGGGGCGACCCCGAACCTTTTCCCTGGATGCTGTGTCCCCAGACCATTCCCCTGGGGCTTCTCGCTCGGTTGCCCCTCTCCCTGTGCAGCAATCCCCACAGTCCAGAAGCTTCTGCAGCAAAGGCCTAGCCCGCACCTGGCTCCAGTCACCAGTGTGAGATAGAAAGGTCCTGGCAACAGGATCTTGCCAGAAGAGAAAATGACTTATGTGCAACTGGGCTCCGGATACGGCACCATCTGTAGCAAGTTGGCCAGCTTGGCCTCCTCTTCCTGTGCTGGACTGGGGATAGGCTGGGGAGGGGTGCAAAAGCTCCTCTTAAGATGTGTTTGCCGGCTCGGTGCCTGTAGCTCAACTGGCTAAGGCGCCAGCCATGTACACCTAAGGTGGC